ATGGTTGGGGAGATTTCAAGCACAGACAAAACACTTGCAACTCAAGCAGCATATTTTGTCTTTCAGCGCTCAAGTTTAAATTCCTTTGCTGGAATTCAATTACCTGCAATAGCTGTATTTCACCAAAGAATTATGGAATGAAAAGGAAATAGCCAATAGAACATTATTAGAATACTAGCAAATTTGATACAATTAATTTCAATCTTATTGGAAATTAAACATCTTGAAAACAAAACTAAACGTATAACTACAGTAACAAGTGCATTAAAAAAGCAATCCAAGAACTCAAGAATTTCGGTTCCACCCATGCAAAGAGACAGATGAGTAACAAACTATAAACTTAATGTGGATATCCAATTAGAATGCTTACGACTACCGCATAACTCTAACTCAAGCTGCATGATGATTGAAAAGTAAGCCACAAACAAACTTGCAACTTGTAAATGATGATAAAGAATAGTATGTCCATACCTGATACTGTTGAACAAATATTGTACCTTAGTTTAATTTTGATAATAACAAATTAGAGAACATTTTATATTGAACATAATTAATTAATCAAAAAATGAAAGGTATAACTGCTATAAGCATATCTCTTAACTATCTTCACATGTTAAAGATTTTTCATTGAGTACCAATATTGGTTTGAACTTCGAGAGAATGACAGAGAGATTTCAAAAGGATAAATTAATTCAACATAGTTTCAAGTGTTAAATTTTAAAAATTTACAAATTCAACTCTCAATTTTGTAACTTTGTTATAATGAATTTGTAAATTGTTTTTAAATTTTAATATAGTTAAAGAATAAATAAATTTATTTTCCCTATTAAAATTTAAAATATAAGTTGCAAATTTATCATAACAAAATTATAAAAGTGATAATTGAATTTGCAAATTCCTAGAATTTAGTGCTTGAAACTTAAATTGAATTGATTGATTATTTTGAGGCATTTCAGCAATTCTCCCTTTGTGTTTTTCATGCTTTCCATTTCAGTACTTAAATTATTTCTTTATTCATACTGAAATTGAGTGCTGCACTTGTTTTTCATTCTTCCCATACTCATTACCGAAATATTATTCATATTATTTTCAGAATTTGGCTCTTGTTCTTCATATCTATCTTCTCTTCAAAGCTAATTCCTGAACTAAAAGTTGTTACTTTTGAAACTATCTCATTTTCTTATACAAGTTTTTATCTGAACTGAATTCCTGAATTAACTGAGCCTTACTTCCAGAATTCCTCTCAATTCCTGAACTAAAATTGTAAATTCTGAAACTAAATTATGTTTTCAATGGTTTAAGGTTTTAAGATATGAATTGTTCCTGTTCCTGAACTAAAACTCCTTTTATTTCGAAACTAAGACCATATCGTCATTTCTCGTGGAAGTGCTGCAAATTCCAAAATTAATTTATCTCTATGCCAAAATTCATATCTTGTTAATCTTAAACCTTCTAAGTTAACATCTAACTTTCGGAATTATCAATGGGAGAATGATAAGTAAGGACTCTCATATAAACATTAATGTCTAATTAAAATTTTTTTTAACACTAAACATTCTCAAATTCAGTACTCATTCTTTTATGTTTTAATACTAAAATTTTTAATTTCATATTAATTTTTTATAAGTTCCTTACTTTCATTATCAATTATAAAGTTCTCATTCTCTCAATTCAGGAGCTATTCTTTGTCACTTCTGGAATTCATAATTTTATTTCATTATAAGTCACAAACTTTCTTTTGTCAAATACCTACATATATTTTACTCTATTTCAAAACTAATACGGGAAATAATGTTTCAAAAGATATTAGGAAGATTAATTGAAGTCTTATATAAAAAATTAATTACTATAAAATCTATTAATAACTGTATTATTATTTTTCTTAAATCGATTGATAATAAATTTTGTAGCGATTAATTCTCTTGTGTAGTGGTTTTATGTAAAGCCGGAAATAAGGGCCGAGCCTGAAAGGTCGGATTTGGAAGTCCTGTTTAAATAAGAGTTCGGACTTTAAAAATAAATTTTTTTAAAGTAATCAGTTTGAGGGCTTAGCCCTGATAAACCTTCTAAAAAAGGGCTCGAGCCCAAGCTACCTTTTAAGCCCTATTATATTATTATTATTATTTTTTTTAGTGAAATATATGTTTGAAACTAATGACCTGCTTACCGATCCTATATGCATTATATTATTATTAATTTTAATTTATTTTAAAATTAATTTAATATAATTTAATAAATATCAGTGTATAGTATAAAATTTATGATATTTTTTATTTTTTTATAATTATTATATTTGTGTATTTATAAAAAATAAATTATTTTTTAACCAAGATTTAAATTTTATTACTAGACTTCTAAATGTGTGTTGTTTAATTTTTAAAAAATTATGAAGATTTTAATTTTTTTAATTTCAAAATATTTTAATGAATTTATAATGTTTAATTTTATTTAAATTTTTTTATTTTTTTAAAAAAGGGCTTGCAGGCCTGACCCTAAGCTCTTCATATAAGGGCCGAACTTAAGAAATGAGATTCAAAATAAAAAATTGAGCTTTAGGGCTCAGGTCCTTAAAGGCCAGGCCTGCCTGTATTCCCAACTTTAGTTTTATGTAATTTTTCAAAGTTGTTCTCTTTTTTATTATTTTTTAATATGGAAAATTTTTCCTTTTTTAATGTTTTTTAAAAAACTAGAAAAAAATTATATTCAGATCTCATAGAAAGAAGTTTATTATCTAGAGGTCCCATAAATTTTATAAAATATTCTCAAATTTTAAATTTGCTTATTGACAACTCGACTAAGATATTAAAAATGAAAAAATGGGTATTTATAACTTGTTATTATAAGTTATTATTATTTTTAGAAGTTATAAATGATCGTTGTATAATTGTCAATATCTTTAATTAAATTGTGAATGATCAAAATTTAAGACTTTTTATAAAATTTATAGCAGTGTTTTTAAAGCCGGACCAACTGGATGGTCGGATCGGTCTGACCATCGACCGATCTAGTTTTCAGTCTGATTCATATGAGAAAAACTATTTTAGGGGTTGAGCCGTTTCGAACCGACGGTCGGACCGGAAATCAAAATCAAGCCGGGAACTGAATTCAATTTTCAAAAATTAGACTATTAAAAAATTTTTTTTATTTTTTATCAAATTTTTAAAAATAACTAATTTTTTTCAATCATTTGATATTATGTTGTATCATGTGGCTTGTTAAGTCATGATAAACTTAAAATATTTAATTTTTTAAATTAAATAGTAATTTATATGTATTTCTTATATTTAAATTATTATATGCATATATAATTTTTTTAATTTAATTATTATATTATCGATTTGACCATTAATTTAATTCATTGAATCATATAAACGGAGAACTGCTAACTTTTTTGATTTGATATTCAATTTAATTTTTAAAAACATTAATTTATAGCACTCTCCAAAATAAACTTCCTTATTTGGGACTGAATGTATTTTGTCCAAAAAAGTAAGCCTCTTGTGGCGCCATACTATTTGACGAACTTCGCGGTGCTCTCCTCCCGAGTTCAAATTCTCATCACGCATGGTGCTTCTCTCTCTCTCATTCATGGTATGATCCGGAGCAATAACAGTCTGACACCAAAATAAAATACGCTCACTGGATTAACAGATTCTTCGCTTTCCCTGATGCGCTCTTTCTCTATCTTCCACATTTGCTTGCAAATCTCACGCTCCGCCCCAGAATTCTTCTCCATCTTTCTTTCTCTCTCTTAAATCCCACCTCCCGCTTTTCCTCCTCCAACAGTAGCAAATTTCACGGCTACTCTCCGGCGGCGAGGTCCCCGTATGTGGCCATCGTAGACCCACGTCGCCGTGATCTGTCTCCGGTTGCCTTGCAGTTCTTTTCAGGTTGGTATTCGTTCATTCTTGTATTGCCAGAATTCTTAATGTTTATGGATTTACGGGCATGCCGCCTGCGAAGGCGGCCCGTTCGGTTCTGAAGTAATGTGTTGAGTTCTGGTTGGAGGATGAGTTGGATGCATTGCGAGATGTCATCGTTGTTAATCGCGTTCTTCTTGTTCTTGTCGTATCTTGATCAAAGCTCATATTTGGACAATTGACATGTTTTGCCAGCTTCCCGTGTAGTGGTTTTCAAGACATTTGTTGTCATCTCATCTCATTTTTAATTTGATTAAGAAGAAATTATATCAAGAAGCAAGTTGCAAATGAAAGGATAAGGAATCCTCCTTCGTAAAAGACCAAAACTGATACAAGAAAACAAAGGGGAATGAAACATGCAGTCTTTCTTCAGAATGCTATCCAGTTTCTGCACTACTCATGCCTGCAGTACAAATATGGATTATATTTAAGTACATGTCTTTAAATCTTTACTATTGAGTTCTCCAATACAAACTATATGAAAAAAGAATTTGGAAATCTAATCATGTGATGCTGGGTTATGAAGAAATCTGCCAGTTATGCTTTTATTGAGGAACTTAATAGTAAAAATGTAAATTATAACCAAGTTTTCTCCAGTGGGAAATATATTTGTGCGTGGTCTATGAATCTTCAACATGTTATTTGGATTAGTTCTATTAAGTATTGCTGTCCAAATTAAAGATTTGATTTCTGAAGTAGTCTTAAAATTCCAAAAAGGTTTTTCAAGAGGGAAAATTTCTTGCGTTGAAGAGAATATGAGAATGAAAATGGGATTATATTTGCAAGCATGTACAACTAAAGCATGTAGATTCCAAACTATCCTATATACTTAGTTGTGTCAAGGAGAGGCCGGAAGAAGAGTTTCTAGTTCATTGACGTCTCTATCAGTTAGATGCTATAAATAAAATGAAAATTGCAAGAATGCATTCCCCCCCCCCCCCCCCCGGGGACACCAGAATTTGATTCCATGCCTGTGCAGTTTACCATCAAGCAATGAACCACCAAGGCTGGAGTCAGCTGGTAAGAATGCACTTTCCCCTGAACTGAACTAAAGTTTTGAACTGGGCTGATCTGCACAGGGTATCCACATATCCTCCTAAAACCTGATATTGCAACCATCACCAATCTTCAGAGAGACAAGAGATAACTGATAGAGCTATATCCCTGAGAAATAAACTTCCAAGGAATAATGAGAGTAGCAGTAATCATTGGGTTGGGATGCCACGAGGATGCCACTAATTTTGATTCAGACCACCGTTGCTTCAAATTACCAGCTGCCATGAGGAAGTTGATTATGGAAAAAAAAAAAAATCATAAACGTATGCTTTTGAAAACAATTCTCTCGGACGCCAAATTACCAAGGCCCAATCCCTCTTTTGATTTTCAATTCACTTGATCTCCTGATTAACAAGATGGTCGCTTCCGATTCTCCCACTTCCAAATTTTCAGAAACTTTTATTATAGGAATATGAATGAGCGTTAGATAGTAAAGTCTTGAATGAGGGTATAAAACCAGACCAGCCAAAAGAGGAAAGGGGCTATTTCCAATTATCAGTGCTTAGGTAACATAAGAATCCGTGCATACCTAAAGGAGGTAACTCATGGATTAACTCGAAGACAAACTCTTTAAGTAAGACAGTACTGATTTCATTTTGATTCAGTTGGAAAGCTGGATGTGCGTCAAGAATCAATTTAATCTTTTCCATATCTTTTGGCTTATACAAACATGTGAAGCTAAAGGGAAATAAAAGATATCAAACTGAGTTTCTTATCATTTTTATTGCTGAACTAATTTCAAGATTTTCTGTTTTACATCTTTGTAGTTGATTTTTAATCTTGCTGCTGCTTTTGAAAGAAACATCAAATACTTACCTAACGTTCTGGTTTCTCCTGCCCCCTCCGGATCCCCTTTCTCACATCCTTCTTTTTCATGCATCACATCCCTCAACTTTATATATGTTTGTATGTTAGCAATTTTAAATTCCGTAAATTCAAGTTAACTGCTTATCTTTTATTATTTCTTTTCCATCTTGTTCTTTTGATTTTTCCTGGGCAGGGAGGTATTTTTAGGGACAATCAATGGGGTAGAAGGGGAGAGAGACTGTTGCCCTGCTCCATAAGTTTGTGATTGTGACCTTGGATGTAATATTGATGGGTTGATGGGTTGTAGTAATATGACTAATATCATTCCTTTTTTTTTTTGGGGGCGGGTGGGGTTATCCCTTCTTTTCCTGGCCAGGCAATCTTATGTAAAGGGATCTCGATAGATTCAGTAAACCCTTGCCTCGCTCTACTTGAAGTTGTGAAGTCTTCGTGATGGGTGCTATAGAAAGTCCTGTACATGACAAAGCAGATTATCTTCCAGGCGAAGCAAAGGATATTTTGAAGTCGTTGGCCAGTGAATGGGATGATGTTCTTGATGTCAATGCGTTGCAGGTGATTCCTCTTAAAGGGGCCTTGACAAATGAGGTATTCCAGATAAAATGGCCAACAAAGACAGAGGAAGCCTCACGAAAAGTCCTAGTAAGAATTTATGGTGAGGGTGTAGACATTTTCTTTGACAGGAACGATGAGATCCGGACATTTGAATGTATGTCTAAGCATGGGCAGGGGCCTTGTCTGCTAGGACGGTTTGCTAATGGTCGTGTTGAAGAATTTATCCATGCACGGGTACTGTAATTTGCTTTCATTATTATCTTCATGCTCATATTGCTTATACATCCTTTGACACTTGAGCAAATTGGTATTTGAGGGTTCGAGAATGACAACGATAGAATGAATGCAGCATAAAATTGACATAATTAGTGAGAGGATCAAAGGCAGGTCTCCTGCATCATGTATCACCAGTAAAATTTAGGCTCTGGCTTTACCTTACTAGCATTACCACAATTCTGAACTTCTTATGCTTTTGATCTTTCTCAAATGAGAATAATCTGTTTTACTCCTATGTGAATTCATCAGACATTATCGGCATCTGATCTGCATGATTCCAATATCTCTTCTCTTATAGCGGCCAAAATGAAGGAGTTCCATGATCTTGACATGCCTGGTCCAAAAAAAGCCCACCTTTGGGACAGATTACGGTATGTGCTTTTGAATAAAATTCATTTTAAGAATTAGTTGCATGTGTATGTCTTTAAATAGGCATGTTCTGCTTCCATTTTTAAATTACAGTTTCTCAAAATCTTAAATGCTTCAGGAACTGGCTTGGTGTAGCCAAGAGTCTGTGTTGCCCTAAAGAGGTTGAAGCCTTTTATTTGGATACAATTGAAAAGGAAATCTCTATGTTGGAAAAGGAGCTTTCAAGTGCTCACCAACGGATAGGGTTTTGCCACAATGATTTACAATATGGTAACATAATGATTGATGAAGAGACCAATTCTTTGACCATAATTGTGAGTTTTTCTTTTTACTAATCAGTGAATTTATGGTTGCTATCGCCAATGGGGAGAAATAAACTACTCTAATTTTTCTTGCTGGACCTGCTGTGAAGAAATAATAATTTTTTTTATATTTAGAAATAATAAGTTCTACTTCTATCATAGGCTTGTCAAGTAATACTTGTAGAAAGAAGTATTGTTTCTTATACATGGATTCTGCCCCTCGTGCCTGGTATTGCACTGATCTGTTTCCAGTTAACTGAACTTTTTCAAAATACATGGAAGATTACCCTCTTGCAAAACCAATTAAAGAAGGATTTGGACAATGTGTAAGAGGCGCTGTTTGAAATCTACTTTGCATATTTTAAAACCCAGAACCCGTCTTCCCTCAACAAAATAGAAAAATTGATAAAAGAAAGATGGAAGAGGTAAGGGAAGAAACCTAATCATCATCCTGGCAAACCAATATATTAGATGTGGGAGTAAGACTATTGAGTTGTCATAATTATAACTTGATAAACTTTGTTGTTTCTTGTTGAGATTTGATCCTACATTTCAGGGTCAAATTAAAATTTTAAAAATAAAGGAAACATGGGACATGAGAAATTTTTTTCTTGGTGACTGACTATTGATATAATTTTGATATGAGCATGCAAATGTCAATTTATACATCGATTTAGGACTTGAAGTAAAATACATTCTGTTTATACATGTATATATACATGTTTTTAATATTGTAGGAGAAAATATGATGTTTTGTCGTGAAGCTTTCATACTCACCTGTGTGGTTCATCAATCTTTACTGATTTTCTCATTTGTAAACATTCTTGTTGTGAGAGATTGATAGGTCATAGAAATCATTTGTAATTTTAATGCCAGTCCTCTTGTAACAGGATTATGAATATGCAAGTTATAATCCTGTTGCGTATGACATAGCAAACCACTTCTGCGAGATGGCTGCCAACTATCATACAGAAACACCTCATATTCTAGACTTTAGTAAATATCCTGGTATGTGTCCTTTATATTTTAATGTCATATTGTACTTATATGTCCTGCGAAAAATGACCTTTATCTGGCTATTTCTCAGCAGATCTGGAAAGGCGGCAATATTTTGTTTATGAATATCTGCGTTCTTCAGGTATTGAATTCTCACATTTCTTTTAATTTTAAGGATTGTATTAAATGTTCATTGAATTTTTGTTTCATTATACAAAATGCTCATTAAGATTTGCTTGTATTTCGTCATCTATATAAACATGTTTCACCTTAATTTCCCACACTCATACTAAAATTATTGGACATTAATATAGGTGAAGAACCTAGTGAAAGTGAAGTGGCGCACCTAGTGCATGAAGTTGAGAAGTATACGCTCCCAAATCATCTCTTTTGGGGCATTTGGGGAATAATTTCGGTATATTCACTCTCTCTCTAGCATGAATTGTTCTGTCTCTAACATAAACTTCTCATTACTTTAGGATGCATGTGGCTTGAGTCCTTGGATGATGGGGAGAAGTTAGTCAGTATATCTGGTGTATGTATTCACACCAACACATGATTTTGGTAGATTTTTTACTAAACTTATAAATCCTATGTTTTTATTCATGAAAATCATGTCTACTTAACGTCAATTATCAAGCTATTATTCATCCATATATTTTTTTTATTTTTCATCTATATAATATATGACACTTTTCAATTTTAAGTACCCCTCATTAAATCTTCTATTTTCATCCTTATTTTGGAATGTTATATGCATTCTACTCTCATTCGACTTCATTGTGCGCCTGTGATTACATTGTTTGTAGAATCAGACAGGAAATTATTCTTTTCATTTGCTTTCAAATTTCAAATCTGCAGCTTTCGAGCCCCCCTTAAAGTCTTACGTTCAATGATACAATACAGGATTTGTTATAGAAATTTGTTATACATTGGAGTCTGGAGTTCAGAAGTGATTTCTCTGTGCTTTCTCCAGGGTCATGTAAATAAAATCGACTTTGACTACAAGGAGTATGCAACGCAGAGGTTTCAGGAATACTGGTCAAGGAAACCTTTTGTTTTGGGCTCTGTTGGTCCTTCTCCTGAAAGCGTTATTGACGATACCAGTATGTAATTAGATTTGAGGTTTTTTTTTTTGGGTATTTCTGCATTGTGAATAGATGGTTACTCATAGAAACAGATAAAATTTTGTGATGTTCATATGTGATCTTTCTAAAAGTAATTTCACATGAACATTTTACTATTTGTATGCCTGTTTATGACAGATTATACTGTTGATGTAAATAGGTGTTTGATTTTAGCATTAAAAGCAATAACAAAATAGGTGGCGACCCATTGTTAAATTGATCCTGTGCCTCTCATCGCTGTGAGATATAGGGAAAGCTTGTCTTCTTGTTTTATTCAAAGAAATGCTGCAATAAAATTGTTGTAGTGAAGACTGAAAAAGTTAACAGTTAAAAACGAGATTAATGATCTGTGGTGAAGGTTTATAATCGGAAATTTTGCTCCCTCTTTTGTTATTAAGGGATAAAGTGGTGTGCGTCTGCCAACAAAGGTCAGTCTAGTTGGTAAAAATTTGTCCTATAACTTATGACATCGTGAGTTCAAATTTTATTGTCAATATGAGGATTTTAGTGATGGGCAATATGTAAGTACTTTTATAAACATTCTTTAAATTTGAAGATATGTTCTAGCCTTCATGAGCTTGGAATTCAAATCACCTAAATTTTTATTTTTGTATTTTTGTTTCTAAAAGAATAGTGTGTTTGTGTGTGTATGTGTCTCTCTCTCTCTCCCACTTGGTGCTTAGCCCTTGTCTTATTTTAGGGGGCCACTTTATCTTATAGGTATATAATCATTTTTTTGATGGGTGCTTTATAGTGTTTATGTATTGTATCATGTTATGTTTTGAGCTTTTCTTGGATGCCCTAGTTTCAGGTTATCTTATCCCACAACCATGTGTAAATTTTTACTCTATTCCACATAAAACGACCCGTTGTTATCTGTTTATTATTACTATTATTTTTTTACATATACTAATCTCTTGCTTGAATTCTTTTTTAATTGCTTGACTACTGTTTTCAAAAATTAATATGGCATGACACCTTCATCTTTTTCTCATTATTTTTTTGCAAAAAATTTAGTACAAATTTATGTGTTCATGCATGTAGTGAAAAATATCATCTCAGCTTTCAAGGAAATATGATTTCGTTTCCAATAGTGTGGGTGTATCTGTGTATTTGAGAGATTTCTTCTATGGCTGTAATAGATAATGTTCTGTAATTTACAAAGAATGTAAAATATCACATTTCTTCATTGCTAACCAATTACATTCTTTTACTCCCTCCCCTGTTACATTAAAAATTAAGTTATAAGTTGTTACATTAAAAGGTTGAGTTAAATTAGTTAATGCTTTTAAAGTAGAATTACTCTTAATGATGCTCATTAAATGGAGGATGATGAAATAGTTAAGAGGTTGTTTAGTGAGTTAAGAAATATTAAAACAAATGGCATTTAGAAAAATCAAAATGAGAAATTTGCATAGGGCATTATAACAAGGACTATGGAAGAGGGGTTTGTTGGTAAGGACAAAACAGTATTCTCTTCCGTTCTAGAATGTTTAGAGTTAGGCAACTAATTTACCAAGATAAAAAAAAAAAGAAGAAGTTAAGTTTGTTATTGGTAATGAATATGTATTGATTTTTCTAAAATATCTCATTTTAATCATCTATATTGGAAGCTACCTCTATTGATTGCATATATTATGTGGGTAATCAATGAGATAGTTTGGGGGAAAAAATAATAATATAGGAGACAAAGGAGATTAGCTCTTACATTTGGAATCGAAACGAACTCATTATATATCTCGGACTAAATGGAATATTTTGGATAATTTCTCTAACCACAAACTTTTCTACTAGAAAAATTATTTCTTTAATACAACTATCTGGCATTTGCTATTATCAAATTAAATTCAAGCATCATCAACCCAATTAAAAGCGCTTCTATGCCTTTGCAAGCGTGATTATTACTCGACCCAATTTTATTCATAATGCACTTGAATAAAAGGTTTTGTGGCCCTTTTTATAAGGTACCACATTGAGTATTTATCAGGAAAAATTACACCTAGGTTTCACAAAAGAAAATTTATTACTAAGAAATTTTATAAAATTTATAAAATATTTTTAAGTCTCAAATTCTGCACACTTAAAACTTAATAAATGGTATTCACAATTAAGCAATATGTATTTACAACTTAAAAAAAATGATAGCATGTAATATAACGATAGCTTGTAATATAGCAAGATGTAATTGTCCGTTGCTCAATTGTTAATATCCTTTGTCAGGTTATAAATGTACAAGATTTAAAATTTAAGAACATTTTGTGAATTTTACAGGATCTCTTGATAATAAATTTTCTTCTATAAGGCCTAGGTGTAATTTTCCCTATTTATTACAATTTTTTATTTCATCCTTATTTGAGGGAAGAAAATAGATTTTTTTTAAATGTGTATTTAACATTGTTAAAATATAAAACTTACCTAACTTTTAGATAAAGTTAATAAATTTTAATATTTTTTTTTGTTTCGTTCAAAAAATGCTGAAAGTGTCTTTATAAATAGGGTTGGAGGAGTTCATGAAAACTTTATACATATACATGTTCTTTGTACGCATGTAGGCGTGTGATGTTCATGTTAGGGTTTGGTTTCCATTGTTGCAGTGGAGAAATTGATGACTAAAGAAAGTACAGCGAAGAGCCACCATCATGGACACAGACATTTACACTCGAGGAGGTTGAGGAAATTTCTGAATCTGGCCATGTTTAGGTCCAAACACAAGCATTAGCACCAAACATAAAGACAGACAGTCTCTTTGCAATTTCTGTGGTAAGATTTGTGCCTCAATCTGAGTGTAACTGAGACTATCCACTAAAAAAAAAAAAAAGAAAAAGGAATACAGTTCAATACTGATTTGTTTGATTGTTTCCATAACCAAGTGTGCATGACTTGAACTGTCTTATTGCTTTATCATGTCATTAATTAAATAATTAATATAGAAGCAGAAAAATGTGTACGAAGATGAAAGATTTTATTGATTATATTGACAAATCATTAATGCAGGATATAAAAATGCAAAAACTTGTTTTAAGTTATAAATTTCATTTACCTATATCTATTGAATAATTATTAATTATTAATTTATTATCTGAAAAAGAGAAATACGCATGCAGCAAGAAAAGGCCCACCATGGATGACACATCAGCTAGATGACTTGGCTTAATATCACAACGACATGTCATCACATAGATAGTTACTTTTATGCTCATTTTGTTAAAAATTGCAAAGCATTTTTCAATTCTTTCCATGTTTAAAATATAAAATCTTTGGATTTTTTAAGAGTAATTACTCCTTTCATTAAAAAATATAAGATATTTTTAATCAAATTATACTCCTAATAAGTTAGTTAATTATCTTTAAACTAATATCATCTTTCTATATTTATTCTTATGAAGATTTGTTTAGTAAGGATGTTTTTGAAAAAAAAAACTCAATAATTGTATATTGAAAAACTAAAAATCTCATATAATTTTGAACATCAAAATCAATTTTTTTAAGGGAGGGAGAATTAAGTAATGATTTTTGTAAAAATTATTTTAAAAAATATTTAATATCATTAATATTTTTATATTTATTTTTGATTAAGTTATCTTATTAAATAAAGATAAATATAAAAAGAATTTCTAATTTTCAATGATATCAACTATCAAGTGAAAATAAGTTAAAAATATTTTATAATTTTAAACATTTTACAAAATTATATTAAAAATTATATGTTATTAGAACAAAAATAATTAATGCATATAAATATTGATAAATATTTTAAAATAGAATGGGTTATAACTTATAAGCATAGAATGCAAAACCGGAGAACTAGCCAGTTGGATCAATAACCTGATGAACCAATTACTTATAGTGTGTTTGGATTAAAAAATTTACAACTAAAGTTAGGATTCAACTGAAGTTAGCAAATTGAGGTTAGAAGAAAAGTCAGTTGATATAACGTGATTTATGTTTGGATATCATTTTTTTTCAAAAATCAGTTAGATAAACTGAAATTTGTTTGAATGATTTGATTCAAAAACTAGTTGAAATGTTTAATGACAAAAATAAGCATGAATTTTTTTATCTTAAATATTAAATCTTAAATATGCATGTTTATATTTTTTTGACTAATTAATAAGTAAAAAATATTAAACTTAAAATCAAAACTTGTTATAAACTTGACTTAATTAATTAACCATGTTTATACTAGGACTCGACGAGATTTGAATTAATTAACCATTTGTTATAAACTTGACTAGTACTCAAACACAATATACTCACGGAATAACAAAACCATGGATGTAATTGAAGAGAAGGAGGAGGAATGAGATCATAACATATATATATATATATATATATATATTTACACGAATGTCCCTGAATCAGAGACATATCTCTCTACTTCAGCAGCAACATACAAATATACAAACAACAGTATTGTATTTTCATCTTTTCATATCATAGGCCATCCAATGGTAATGGATTCGCTGTTCTCTCTGAAACCTTATGGTGTCAATGTCAAGCCACCCTTATCCCTCTTCCTTCCTTTCCCTCCCAAGTTCCAGTCTCATCGTACTCGCTTCATTCCTCAGTCTTCCTCTAAGCAGGTTAAGATTCAGTGCGAGTTTGAAGGGAAAGTGAATGGCGCTCTTTCTGGCGACTTTGACCCCCGTTTCATTGACTGGGTATATGCATATATATACTGCTTAATTAGCTTGCCTTTCTTGGAGACATATCTCTCTATATATAATCTAGAGGAGTCCAAGAAGCAAACTTAGCACAAGTCTTGGAACCCAGCATGCATGTTCTAGTCGTGTTCCAATACCTTGGGTCCTTAATTCTGTTCCTCAGCCACGGCGAGTAACCGTCCAGCCAAAACTCCTTATAGGCCCTGTTGAGAACTTCCACGCCGCCGCCCTAGCTCATCATGATGAACCCTAACAACGTCAAGCCAATCAGCGTCACATGAGAAGCAGCATCACCACCAGGTACAGCCACAGAGTGCATGCACGTGGAAGCATGCTCCAATGAAGCTTGTCAAAGATATCACCAGAACCACAAAACCTATGACTAGAAGTGGTGTCTGTAAGAAGTTTTCGCATGTTTTACTAGTCCTGGCCATCCACAGTCCTGTTTGTAAGAAGTTCAATGTGGAGATCTTGGTGCTTCAATTGAGGTGGAGATCGATCGAGATTAGGTGCTAAATGTAGAGCTTGGAAGGTGAAGTAAAGGAAGGTGGAGCAAATCTGGAGGTGCAGCTCAGTCATGAGAGGAAGAAAATAGCACACACAACAACATAAAAAAGCCAGACAGCTCATGGGTAGATACATAAAGAGAGAGAGAAAGCATAAAAATTCAACATCATTATGCTTGCAACGGCTTTTAACGCTGACGTTGATGCTAAAAGCCAGGTCTTTAGGCTTCCAGAAAAAATGATCGTTTATGGTTAACTGAGGTTGAGATTTTTTCCTAATCCAAACAATACAAAATGAACATTTTATATCCTAACTTCAAATTGGCTAATTCTAATTGAAGTTGAAAGTTAATCCAAACATGCACTTAGCCATTCTGAGGTTGATGAGGGCATTTGGCTTTGGTGCTCATCATTGGACCATTCAAACTAAAAATATGGGTGGTCCAAATTTTAATGCTTTATTTTGATATTTTTATTTTATATTTATTATAAAATCTATGAAATTTTAATAAATTTATTTTATTATTAATTTAAATACGCATAATTAATCTAAATAATCTAATTTAATATTTAATTTTTTGATAATTTTTATAAATTAATTATTCAGATATATTTTGAATAGTTTGGATTTAATACTAAACTTATTTCAATTTTTTTAAATTTTTATTTGAAAAATTAACAATAAAATCCAACCAAAATATATAAATGACAATCAAGTCCCCTCAAATGTCATAATTCATTTAAATTTTTTAGGAACTTTTTTGACATTAATGATTTTAGATTAATGACTAAATTTCTCCTTGTTTAAAATAAAAAAAAAGGTGTTGCTCAATTTTTTTAGAAACAACTTTTGTTTAAATGATTACAACTTTTGTTTTGTGAATCACAAAAATTGAACAAGAAATTATAATTTTTCACATGAAATTTCTTTTATAATTTATAAATAAGTTCTTAAAAATAACTAGTCTAAATCAAAACTTTAATTCTGTGAGTAGCAAAAATTAAACAAGAAATTACAATTGTCCATGTGAAATTTTAGTTCAAATCTTGAAAATAATCAGTTGCAATTTTTATTTAAGTAATTACAATTTTTATTACGTGAGTTGTAAATATTGAACAAGAAATCACAACTTCTCACATAATTTTTTTATTATTAAAATTCAAGTTTTGAAAATAAATCATTTACAACTTTTGTTAAAACAATCACAATCTTTTTCTATAAATTACAAGAATTGAACAAAATATTACAACTTTTTATGTGAACCTTTTTTTTAATTTTAAACAAAGGATATTTTAGTCATTTAACATTAAATTATTAATATAAGAAAGGTACTTAGAGATTTCAAAGAAATTATGACATTTTAAAGTATCTAATTATTATTTATATATTTTGATGGAATTTTATTGTTATTTTTCCTTTTTAATAAAGATAGTTTTTAAACTAACACTTTAAAAAAATTAAGAAAAAATGATAATTTAAAAATTTTAAATTTAAAATTTTCATATTATATCTAGATAATTAATTTATAAAAATTATAAAAATATTTAATAAAGTAGATTTATTAAAGTTTATAATTTTTATTTTAATAAACATAAAATAAAATATAAAAAAATTATAAATATATACCGTTCAAATTATTGACGCAACTGTGAGAGGCTTTGAACCGGTTTCCCTTTTGACTAGAGCCGTCAATTACGGGCCGGGCTTTCATTTTATCTTTAAAAATGTAAATCGGGCCTAAAAGGGCTGGCCCTTTTAGGCCCGAAAATAAAAGGGCCGGCCCTTTAGGGCCAGGGCCGGCCCTTTTAGGCCCGTTTATAATTTTTTTTTAAATTATAATATAAAAAAATAAAAGATTAAATACATAATTCAAAGAAATGAACATATTAAATGTATTCATCCATCCCTTATTTATTTATTATGATAATATTAGTTAAGTTTAATTTTTATTGGTATTTACTTTGATGTTGCTATTTGATATTAGACCTAAATATTTTAGTTTTCTTTATTGTTGTGGTGTAAATTAATTTAAATTTATTTTCTTAAACTTAATTTTATGAATAATAACTTTTTTTATAATTATAAATATATATTTTATAATTTTTAATTGAAAAAATAATTTTAAAAAAATAGGACCAAGGCCCTGAGGGCCGGCCCTTTAGCCCTGAGGGTTAGGGTCGGGCCTTAAAAAATGAAACCCTGACATGTAATAGGGCTTATTAGGGCCAGCCCGTTTAGGCCCTGACCCTTCAAAGGCCGGCCCTAATTGACAGCTCTACTTTTGACCTCCGAGACTTCGAAAAGGTCTCGTTTTGTTTTTTTTGGTTAAAAAAATAGGCGCTCTCTCCCTCTGAAATCGGCGCAGGCTCTGAAATCTTCCTCGCCGTCGTGAACTCGTGGGTGTTTGCTGCCGCCGAGCTGCTTTTGTCTTTGTCCCTCTGAAATCTATCTACCCGCCTCGCCTATCGTCGTGGACTTCCTATCGTCTGTTGCTTGCAGCCCAACTCCATCATCGTGCTCTTCAATTTCCGGAGTTAAACTCCATTTCGGTTTGCTTTCTCCCTCCCACTGACTCTCCTATTCTTCATTCTTCTGGTTATTGTTTGTCTTTGACCTACTTAAGTGATTCACAGTGCATCTG